GGGGTAAATCAATGAGGTCTGAAGGCCATTCTGAAATGATTTCAATTTCCAGAAGCAGCCAGAACCTGGCAGCAGAGGCCTCTTGGGGTGGAGAGGGGATGCTGGGATGCTGGTACCGCACTTCCCCCTCCAACCTTGTTCTTTTGAACAACAACAAAAAGGTTCTTAAGGACAGCAGCAAACATTCTGAGAATGGTAGGTTAGACTTGAGACAGGAATAAAGTGGATCAAATGCTCTCAACTCCTGAGAAGATACAATGTACACAAATGTCATTTTTCCTGATTGGCAGGAGGTTGCGAGGAACTGTCTATTTTCAGCAATTTGAGTCAACTAGAAAGGGTCGTGTATAATGCAAACACTGTCTTTAAAAACAATATTTAAAAAAGTCCCTTTGCTGGAATTTTTAAAGCAGCCAGAGGCACAAATGGTCTCCCACACTCCCTGCCTCCCTCCCCCAACCCTTCAGAAGCAGAATGCAGAACACAGAATATCAACTGGCATCTAAGTAGAGGGGTGGTTTTTGGGACAACTGAAGAGAAAATTCCAACCATCCCAATAACCTCACCCCAAGCAGATGGGAAAACATGATGGCCTTGGGGCTGGCTCAGCTGTAGGTAGGACTGGGGGAGGGCTGAAGGCAAGATCAAGAGAGGAAAAGTTGCACAAAGTGGAAAAAGCACAAAGAATGTGTTGTGGTCAGGGAACAGGTAAGCATACAGTGGAATCCAAGCAATCCGGAGTGCTGTGGCTTCCCAGAGCCCAGAGGAAGAGAGAAGAGATTGCCCAGCAGCCGGCACTGGGAAATGAAGCTGCCACAGCCTTTAATTTGAAACTCAGACATCTCCTATACTGAGGCTGACTCCTGGGGCCTTTGCCTTGAGATTTTTTTTTTTTTTTTGTGATTTGCATTTCAACCATCTATTTGCATCTCAACTGTCACATGGCACAAATGGATTGTTGTTGGTTTCAGCCCACCCCATCCCTTCCTTCTCTGGCTTCTGTCAGTTTTCTATAGCTGGGCAAATAAGAAGAAATTACTCTGAGAGACTTGACAATGAAGATGGAGTCCTTGGGAGATAGAAAGGGCCTCTTTCAAGCACCTTTGTTGTCTCGAATGGTCTGGCAGAGCCTGAGATTCAGCAAGAAACTGAGCAGAATCTTAGATCTGGAGGGGATGGCAGGCATCAACTAGTCTTTATGAATTAGATTAGCATCCTTATTAGGACTGACTGCCACAAAGTGCTAACTGAGAAGTTAAACTGCTTCCTGCTTCCTGTTTTCCATCAGTACCTTCTACTGCCCCATAGTGGACTTTTGAGGTTACTTTCCCACACAAATTTGGCTGGAATTGGGCTTCAGCACAGGGTCACTTATTGACGATCAGTTTGGATCACGGTATCATTTAATCATGCTTTAATTCCACCAGTACATGTTTCTGCAGTGCCTCCCAAGTGCCAGGCAGAGTTTGAGGCACTGGGTTATACTCGTGAGCAAAAGCAGACCTGCCTCTGCTTGTGGCTCATTCAGTCCAGTGGGGAGACAGATATTATTGAGATCATCACACTAATAATTGCAAAATCACAATCACGGTGAGTGCAAGGGAGAATCGCATGGTTCTACAGAATCTGTGACAAAGGGATTTCATCTCTCCTCATGCTCCCTCTCTTCCTCCAAGTTTGCTCAATGAACATATTTTCTTTCCACACCTGGCAAATCCAGGGTCACCTTCAACCCAGACACAAATCCCAAGAGATGTATTCTCTCCTCAGAAATCAAACTGGAAGAAATGACAATTTTAAAAAAAATTTCTTTTACAAAAATTGTCTGATTTCTCTTTGAGCGTCCTTAAGTGTTCCAGTGCCAGTGGCCTCTGTCTTTTCTGTTCCTGTTGGCAATGTGCCTGAACACTCCAGCCTGGGAACCTGGGCACTGACCCTCAGCACCCAAGACTGGGCCTTGGGAGCATTTACTAGTCCAGATCTGAATCCCTCTGGAGTTTTGGAGAGCGGAGAAAAGATGGAAGATACAAAAGATGGAAGATACAGGGCAATTCAGAAAGCAATTTATCCCTCCTTCTTCTTTAGGAAGAAGCCCAGGACCACATTTGGAGAGGTCTGGGTACAGCTCTACTGGGAGCCTGGAGGATGGCCTAGAGGACCTTAGGGTGGGGTAGTCTGGGCTTCAGAGCTGCCACTCCTCGGGGGTAGTTCTCTTTCTGCACCTCACTGTGCCCTGGAACAGTGGGACACTGTGGGGAGGAGGCCAGTCCTCTACTGTCAGAGACAGTGGCCAATTCCCTGGGGACAACAGAATGGTCCCTGGCAATGCTGGGCACCATGTCTGCAGTGGGTGTGCTGATGCATGTGCTAGGTGGGGCACAGTCACTAGAGGCAGGCTGGACCCAGACACCCCCCGGCATTTGTACAGATGCTTCAGACAGGGCTTCTAGTAAAGGGAGCCAGGGATAAAACCCAAGGGGTCAAGGTAACCTTCAAATCCCTCAACCAGTCTCAAGGAGCAGGCCTTGATGGTTCTGGCTCTACTGGTGGCGATACTGCCTGGATCCCTCAGCTTAACACCTACGTATGGCGGGCACCACAATAAGTCCTGTGTACAAAACATTTGGTCTCCCTGCCTCCATATCCTTGTTGGCATCCTCTGTGGCAGACACAAATAGGTAGCTACGTCCCCACATTCTGCAGCCTTCTGGCAATGAGATGAGGCACTCATAGCTAGTTCTGGCTGATGGGCATGAAGCGTAGAGGATAAAGCATAGAGGAACTGGTACTTAACCCTCCAGCTGTCTCCTCCCTGCTGCAGTGACCGATGGAACCGCAGAGTACCTGAGTGACTACACATAGGGCGTCTCCCTGCCTACTTGTGCTGGATAAGTAATCTGAGTGAGAAACAAACTCCTGTTTCAGGGTTCATTTGTTACTACAATAGAAACTAACTGACATTTTCTTTTTATTTCATTTTACACAGATGAGCAAAGTGAGGCTTAGAAAGGGTTAATGACTCACCCAAGGTCACAGAGCTAACAAATGGCAAGGCTGCACTTGAACACAGACCCTGTCCGAGCTTGGTCTGTGAACCACTACGTGAGCTGTCTCCCCTCTGGGCTGCCTCCAAAATCAAGCCCAAATTCTTTGGCTTGGCATTCAAGGCCTTCCAAGGCCATGTCCCAGCTCACCTTCTCACTAGCCCAATACACAAACCCTGCATCAGTTGCATGAGTCACCGCCTGTTTCCTCGATCCACTCACAGGTTTCTCCCTCTGTGCCTCTCTGTGGGCCACTGCCCACCCCACCAGCCCTCCTGTGCTCCCTTTCATGATCTGATTTACAGCCCAAGGCTCGGCTCTAGCCCCGCTCTCATCATAGAGACTTTCCTGATCCTCCCAGCTCCTACTTCCCTCTTCCCCAGCTGAGCTCTGAAGCCCCGCCTGCCTGTAGTCACTGGACCCTGGACCCACATCCCCATATCAGTGTCTCTCTTCTTTCGGGAATTACCATTAGCCTGAAACCAAAGAGAATCTCTTCTGAGGTTCTCATTCACACAGCAGTCTCTAAGGGGGCTGCTGCACTCCAGGGGGATACAAGATGATCCACTGGGGCATGAGAACATATTTGAACTTGTTATGCTTGTTTATCTCCACCTTTTAAACTTTCTACATTTCTGTAAATGTCTTAAAAGGTGCATACTACATTTGCGTAACCACACTTGGCCCCTGGGGACAAAGACCAAAGTTTACACTTCCTGGATACCCTCAAGGGACCAAATATAGATCCTTGTAAATAGCAGGTGCTCAGTACATGCTTTTTATCTCAGACAGATGGTTTTGGAATGCCTTAGCAGGAGATAGAGGCATGTGCATGCACACGTGTGAACACACACACACCCCTACACACACACACACACACACACACACACACATCCACCCAGGGACTAACCTGCCCTTGTGGTCCTGAGTCCTTGCAGGGGACCCTGTCCAGTTGAGAGAAGCTAGTAGAAGATGGCAGGGATGTGGGAGGACGGGCTCCTGTGCGGGCATGTTGGGTGGTTTGCTGAGAATCCAGAGTGGAGAGGGGCAGAAGGAGTGAGGAGGAAGCTAGGTCTGGAGCAAGGCCAGCGCCTGAGCCCCAAGTGAAGAGTAACTGCAGAGAGGGATCTCGGGCTGGGAAGCCTGATGGATGGAATTCCTGAGCAGCGAGGGCTAGGGGAGCAGCAGTAATAAATAGAAGTCCTGTTAACGATGTGGCTGTGCCGGGTCGGGGAGATGAGGCACGAGGAAGGGTCAGGAGAGGAGGCAGCTGGGGAGGTTCCATCTGGATGGAAGCCTGTCCCATCCTGGCCCATGGCCCAGTGACACAGGGCCTGACAGGGCTCACGGGGGCTATAGCTGGCCCTGGAGCCTCCTCCCTCCTGTCCCTCCCAAGCTCTCCCTCACTCATGACCTATGTCTCTTCCTTTTAAGACAGGCCTCAGCCAGGTAGGCTTTTAGGCAAGGGGATGAAGCCATCCCCTCTAGAGTTTCCTTATGGCCTGGGATCCCCTTGAAAGCACTTATGTTTCTTGCATGGAAAAGGAGGGGTTGTTATTACACTGAATGCAGGAATAAGACTTTCTTGCAAGGTCGTCATTTATACAAGAGCCTCTACCTTTTAAAATTTCTATTTTGGGGTGTATGTTTTACAGTGTACATATTAGATTAGTAGGATGATCATGTACATAATTTCTAAATAAATAACTACATATTAGAGGTGTGTGCTCAAATGTTTTCTGCAGGGTGTAGGGGGTAGTCAAAAAGTTTAGAGACTACTATTTTTCTCCAGTCTTATTTATCCTTAGAACATAGAAGAGGAGGGGGTTCAGCCATGTTTGTTTCTATTTTATAGATAGGGACCTGGGAATCTAGAGATATCTGGGGCCTCTCCCAGGGCTGTACATCCCAAGAAGGCCAGCGGGTCTGGATTGGCCATATATTCCAGGGACTCACCTCGTCCTTGTCCACTACCTGGATGAAGAGGGGGAGGGCGAAGCCGACTTGTGCCAGCTCAGTGATGGCCACACTATACTCGGAGCTGTTGAACTCTGGGGCATTGTCATTTATATCAATAACCAGGATATTGAAGGTCGTGGTGACTGTGGCATCGGATGGGGTGCGGTCATCATTTAGCTCCGTGCCCTGCAGAAAAAGGACAAATACCCCAGGATGAAGGCGGCCATAATCACAATAATAGTTATCATGTACCTGGGCTTACTAAATGTTAGACACAGTGCTTCATGTCAGTTACTCGCTTCATCCTCATCTCAATCCCAGAAGAAAGATTCTATCATTA